TATAAAGGAACTATCCATCATACTAGGACATTATGAAGATGCTGGCTGCCTTCTAATCTTGTCTATAGCATGGCTGCCTAAGCCATTATCTACTTGCTATCATTTAATCATGACTACAGCGGGCTACCTAAGCCTTGACTGCTATTTGGCAGATTTTTGTGTGTTTGGTAGCATAACGTGGAGAGAAATGAATTAAGTTTGAGTGTTGGATGTGTGATGCATTCCTAGGGAGTTATTCTCTAATCCTAAGTGTGTTTTTTGAAGTTATTGTCTCCTTGACTTCAGTTTTCATAGTTCACCTAAATTCCCTTTGATTTCCCCTTCCTAATTTTCTGATTGTTTATGTTCACATATCCACAAAGTTTTCAAGCCTTATTCTTCTTACTGTTATTGTTTAAACCTAAACCAGCCGCTATCCAGTCTAAGCGTGCAGCTAATATCAAATAGAAGGAACGTTTTTGAATTTTAGATATCAGTGCTCATAATTGCAAAGCAGGATCCTTGCTTCATGCTCTGATTTCAATAAGGGATAAACACTGTTGAGTTCGTCAGTGGCTTCTGTAAAGTATTTAAAAGTCTTTACAATGGAGAGAACATGTTAGCAAATTAACCGAAAACGTTTATACTAGTTCAGTTTTCGGGTTCCAACAACATAAGTACAGCAGAAGGTGAAAGCTGAATGGCAGGCAAGTCATGGAAGGAAAAATAACTCCTCTAATCAAACAAGGTCCAGGTCATTCAGGGGAGAGGCTCTTAACATTCTAAAATTTGGAGCATCAGCTAAAGAAATCAAGTCTAAAATCGGATTAATTTTAAGAATGGAAATGGTATTCCACACAAATGCCAACGGAAAAGCTAACAGCCTTTATATCAGTCACCAGACAAGTAAAAAGATCAAAAACAAAGTGAAAATAATTAAGGCTGACCTTTATATCTCCTTCACTAAATGCTCTCCTCATTCCATAAACAGAACCAAAATCCATTCCAGGGAAATCCAGAACATTAGGCTTGACTGCAGCCCCTTGCACCCATTCCTTTGAGCTTAAACAACCTGAGGTGACACTTTTCTGGAACGGTAAATCACAGAGCACTTTGTTTTCATGATTTTGGTTTTCATCTGTCTTCACAACAGGAATCTTGATATCCAGGATCTCAGACAGTGGTGTTTCTATTGCTTCTTGTGCCTTCAGATCCTTCTCGCACTCATAGAGAACCTCTAAAAGCTGCTCATTTTGAATTGACTCAATATCTGCAGCTTTAAGTCCTTGTGAAGTAATGACATCTTCATCACACGAGATTAATGAAATGGCTGCAGTTATGGGATCAAAGCCCACAATTGGTTCTTCAATGATGGGTTCTGGAGCTTTGAACAGATCACCTTCTCCTCCCAGGTCATATTCAGATATAGTGGAGGTCTGAACCTGGTTGTTCTACATTAGGCATGAACAAATACAAGGGAAGGTTAAGAGACAAATATTATTAGCTGTCAAATTGGACTTTTTCTGAAAGAAACAAAAGTAGGTGAGGCTAAAATCATAATTCAGAAAAAAATTCTTAAACATTAATACAGGCAGAAACACACTCTGCTTGGTGTTGTCCAAAGAGAACAAGAGCTGCATTCTTAGTCAACTCCATAAAAAGCTTTGGCCTAGAGCCCTAGACAAAACAATGCAATTTTGACTGAGCCACAGCATATGAGTTCAGTTTCATTACATCTTTTATTTTTTTGATAAACAGATGTATAATATAGAGAGTGTTTTACAAATGAATTGCCCATATCAGACATGTTAAAATCAAACTGGAAGATTCTAGCACAAAGGTCAACAATCAACTTAGCTTATCATGTTCACTTAAATGTGCTACTCTGCCTCTTCCTTCTCCACTATCCATAATAACTGGCTTAGGAATACAACTACATTCAAACTATCAGATGGTTTAAGGAATCAATCTAAATTTCATTTTAGTAATAGCTTACTGAAGCTTAAGCAAGGTTTTGCCATACAATACCTAACTCTGGCCACATAAACTAAAGTTACATCGTTGCAAGAAGATTGCCACTAAAAAGATTAAAGCGAAAGGAAAAAGACCAAAGATAAATTCTCATTGTGGCTTCTTCGTATGTTCATCACATATGCACGCTCAAAGTTCATATCTTAAGAGAAACAAATTACTGATAGCAATCACACTCCAGTAATCAAATTCAAAACCCTTTTCAACAAACAACAAAAACTCCAAATCCTCACAGATGAAAATTTTCTTCGGGTAACAGGATAAATATTTATCAGGAAATCACCCTTATTACACTAAGAAAAGATCTATAAAAACCATTTAAAGGGTAAATTTTATTTCTCCTACTTTCTCCAAAATTTAATTTTTAATTTTGACACTAACTAAAATAAAGCGCAATATGAACCTCTTGTACTTCCCAAACTGTTTTTCCCCTTTATACTAAAAGACTAAAAAATAGTTACTATTTTTTTTCTTTTTTAATCTTTCTGTGTAAGAGGCTAAAAAGTAAAAAAGCCAATAACCAGTTCACACCAACAAGTTGAAGAAAATGGAAGAAATCTTCAAGAACACGGAACTCATGACATGGAAATCATTTCCATTTATAATCCAACTTTTCTTTGTTTTCTTTCCATTTTCCTGACCCATCATGTAGAGAGTGCTTTCAATTTTATCCCATTTAAGCCTTGTTTGGTTGCTGAGAAAGTTTTAGCCTGGTTTGGTTGCTGAGAAAGTGTTATAAAGAATAAACTAATTAAGGTCCCCCCTTTTCACGAGAACCCAAAAGCATAGAACATGAAGCCTGAAGCTTCCAACATACATTTTTCCCACTGTTTTTCTTAGTCATTAGAGGGGAACATAAAAAAAAATTTTCCTAAAAATTGAAATCTTTCATAGGGGCAAATGAAATTCCACTATGAAATCACTCAAAAACTAGAAATTTAACAGAAGCAAAATTTTCTCTATTTTTTGCTCCATTTTAAGAGCAAGAAAGACAAAGAATCATTACAGTACAAAGTAAACACTGAAGCAAATATCAAAGACCCCAATTCTTCAGATACAGAAAATCAAAGTTAAAATCCACCTCAAAACTATACCCAATCAAACAAATGCAGATCACCAAAAAGAAACCAAAGCAATGAAAGTAAGAAAAAGAAATCAGAGACAAAGATTCAGATATTCAGTACCATTGGAGCATTGGTTTTCTGGGTGTTGTAGAACTCTTCAAACGGTTGAAATCTTGAAAAAAGTTCTGCATGTAAGGAAAAAATAGCCCTGTCTCTGCATACATTTCACACCAAGAAAGCACACTTTCTTTTTGATTCTTCCTCAGAGAAAGAACACAACTTTTTTTTGTCTTATGTAACTGACAGAGTTCCAAAGTAGAGAAAAGTACAAACTCAAGCAGCCATAATGCTACAGAGAGAAATTTTGGGTTGGTTTTGGCTTTTACGCAGGACTTAGACAAGAGAGAGTCTTATAATAATCAATGGGCATTATTAATTGTGAAATTATTTAATATATTGATAATAAAGTATTTTAATTTTAAAAGTAAGATTAAAATGATGATATATATTTTAAATTAATTGTTTTAAAAATAAAAAATATATTATTATTTTAATTTTGCATGCGAAATTAAAAATTTTATTATTAATATATTTAATAATTTTTCTTGTTAATTTAGTAGTAAGATTTTTGGAAAGATTAAAAAGAGTAATGTAATCAAATAATAAGGGTAAAGTGTAAGTAGATTGCTTTCTATCTCTTGATTTAATGATTAAAGAAGCTTTATGAAGATATAAAAATTTTGGTTTAAGTTAAAATCTCTTCCTCTTTTTATTTGTAAGGGTTATATCTTCCTGCTTTGAATAAAAAAAAAAAAAGAATAAAAGCGGACAAGCATATACTATTTTTTAATTTATTCTTAATTTTTTTATTTAATTTATTGATATTATGTGGTTAAATTTTTTTAATTATATTTTTTTATTTTAATTGACATAAATATCATTTGAATTAATACTTAATTCATCTTATTACAACTCTTTTATTTACAAAAGTTAGCATTATTATAATAAAATAGTAGAAATAATTATTATTTTATTGAAATTTATTTGTTCATTTTTTGGGAAATTATTATAGATTTCTTGTGTAATTAAAGTCATAGTTTGGAAAGGTTAATACTCCGAGCTTTGGGACATGTTTGTGGGCTGGACAGTGCTCATCACTCACCCCGGCCTATATATCTCATGTCAGAGAGGAATAATTTTACCCACGTGATTTTTCTGCGCGTGTCGAACACCTATCCCATGCATGTGGATGGGGATACTCGGCTGCAGCAGCAATTCCTTAGTTTTTTTTTTTGGCCTCACCAATTAGCTAACCAGAGGCGAGTCCCTCCTCGACTGCAGTCCAGACTTCGTTGCTAATCCAACACGTGGAGAAAGAAAAAGACACAAAATAGCTGATAGGATTTTTGTTCTACTTTTGTTTGAGGGCATTTCCCCTATTCCCCATTTTTTTAGTATTTTTTTATCTTCTAATCTCTCCATTAATCTTTTGAATTGAACATAAAGAAACATGTTTTCCCCGCATAGATTTCAGCTTGATAGTGAAAATTTTATTTGTAACTATAAGATTTTATGTTGGATCTTTTACATAAAATCAATAAAATTTAACATAAAATGTCGCATTCTTTGTAACCATGAAAAATATCTAAAGCGAAAAAAATAAAAAAGTAATGGTTTTACAACCTACCAAGAAGAGGATTTGGGACAAGGTTCAGATTGAAATGGTCTGTTGCTGTGCCGAGCCAGTAAAGCTGTTCTTATACTGTTATACAGGCTGTGTTGCCTAAAAGTTATATTCATGAGCTTAATATAATAGTATCTTAATTTTGGCGAGGAGATGGTGTTGGCAAATTGTATTCATGATAATTAATTAATGTAAACACTCTCAAGAAAAGATATTATGAAATTCAAATCCCAAGTGCAAAATTTTTTAAAAATATAAGAACAAAATATGACATTATCTCTCATCAATATAATACAGTACGTCCCAGCAAAACACAATCTGTGTTACCTTAAGTTGAGGCGCTTGTTCGCTTTTGAAAAAAGAGGTTGAGGTGCTTGTCAAGCTCCTAAGACAGGATTCCATGATCAAGGCAAACATCATCCAGAGAGAAAAGTAGCATTGGAAAGTTTAAGACACAAGCTAAATATGAGGCTTAGATGTCACAAAATTTTGCAAATATCCCCTACGCACAAAGTTCAAACCATTCCTTATTTCTATTTCTGCACACCAAAATAAAAGATCCACTCAAAAGGTTCATAGGATAATAACAGGAAAACTTCTACATATATGACTGGCGACATGTGGAGCGGTCCACTCCCAGTTACATGAGCTTCGCCCTTGAAAAATCCATCTCAGGATGCTGCAACAAACCAACAAAAAGATTGAGCAAAGTTCATCAGCTAAGGCTTCAGATGGGGAAGGAGAGGACAGTAACATATGTGTCTCTCTCTGTGTTTGTTTGTGTATGCAGTCTGTTGTCAAGTTTCTGAAGAGAATAGTTACCTCGGACATGAATTTCTTTAGAATTTCCTGCTTCTGAAGCTCATCACTGGTTGGAAGGCCCATGGCTTTCTGTCTCTGGTCGAACTGCACAGGAGCACAAGTTGACAAATACCGATTATGGGGAATCCAAAGTTTACAAAAAAAAGGCTATAATGTAAATATGTAAGGCTTAATACTAATGAGTCTAGCAAAATCATTCACAGAACCACCAGTAAAAGTGCAATGACATTAAAAAGAAAAACAAAAAAACTAGGTAATTTGACATGATCTGGGATAGAGAGCTCGTGGCAGATAGAAACTAACCAGAAGCAAAATACAATGAAAAAGGCAAAACTAATTACCATCATCTTCTCCACAGTTTGTCGTGTTTCTGGATCTAAGTCAGATAGTTTGCTGTTCTCTGGTTCAACTTTCTGAGTGTCAATTTCAGCATCTCCTTTTACCAATGATTTCCACCACTCCATTTGGTTGTGCTTTGTCAAAAGGATTGCGATTGAACAATTATCCTCTACAAGAGGTGTGGGAAGATTTTTATATTGCCAACAAAAGTGAATATTTGTAGCATCAAACAAAGTGTTCTTTCATTCTCTATAAGTATATAACATATGATCAAAGCACAATTGTCTCATGACATAAACAATCTTAATTAATTATGTCTCTCTTCTTAAATATCTAATCAATAAATCAGGAATAAATAATGATCAACAATACAAAGATAATACATTAGTGATCAAGAAACAAAAGAGATACCAGATGAAATTTATATATAACAAGACAAAAATGCAAAATGAAATTTAACAAAAAACATAAACTTCATTTCTCTCATAAAAGAAAGAAAAAACAAGACAAAAAAAATTCAAAAGCACTTATGCATAAATATCAAGTAATTTGCATAGAATGAAAAAAAATAAATAAAAAACTAGGAGAGAAGATAAGAATTAAGAACCAATCTCAATCAAAACTAGAAAATGGATATCAGAAATGACTAATAAAACTTTATCTTTATGACAGTTACACAAATTCTGTGCATAAAGAAGACATATTCATCCTAAAACTACTTTCAATTATATATTGTAAAGCTCAAATCTTTAATTAATTCACAGCTTTAAATTAAGAATTTAAAACATTGCACACCGAACATTATCAATATACTTGCAATAACCTAATAATTGCAGTATTTGTCTCTCATTTTCTTCGAGATAACATACCGATGCTCCAGTAACAGTCATCAGGTTTGACAGACTGGAAAAGCTCCCCCTGAAAATAAAAAGAAATATGTTACTTCGATGTAAACAAACTAGGAACTGTTTGAAAGCATATGCACTAACTTACATCAATAACATGAGGCTGGCCCTTGAGTCCAACTTTTAGATGGTTCTTCTTTATCTCACATACAACAAACCTCGATCTTGTTCCACTGGGAACTGGAACATTAACCGTGACCTCTTGCAGGGTCTGTATCCAAGAGTATTTCTCCAGATCAAGACCATTGCCTTTGTTTGGAACTGTCCAAACATTTAGAAAAATGTAAATCAATGACAGTTTGTTTGAGTTTTGCTTTAACATGCATCTAAGAGTATCCAATTCAAAATCTCCAATGCAATATTTAATCATATATTTAACCTAACTTGCAAGTAACTACAACCCCACTAACCAATAAAAAGAATACATCTAGACAAAAAAAGTAAAGAAGTCCATTTTTTACCAGCATCCCAACACAGTGTATATCTTTTCATAGCCAATGGGATCAACATGCATAACCATGTACAAAAAAATCATATCATTTACACCAACCATTAGCACCAATTGTAAGAATGCACAAGTAAACGGGCTAACACATCTACCAAATGCTGTAGGAGAGAGGGAAAACCACACAATTGAACATATAATAAACAATTTGCACAATCATTGTAGCTGTAGAACCATCTAAAACATCCAAGGCTAGAAGAATTTACAGAAAGTTCAATGTTACCTCAGTAAGTGATTGAACCAAGCAAAACAACTGTTCCTCACCCCCTCGATTTCAAAACATTGTTTTTAGTCAAAATCTTTTACTACCACATTTCCAAAAGTTGTCAAAAAAGTTTCAGGTGAATGCCAAGCTCAGAGGCAAGGAAATCAAACCCAACTTACACCAAGATTATTGTTAAGTTTATTCAATCAGTCCTCCCTGATTCCACCAGAATCCAAAACGCACAGGGACAAAGAAACATATTTCCATCTGTTCGCTAGAGAACTAGCAGTACCCCTCGCACCAGGGACAACTATTAACTTTATTTTTAGTAAAAGACGTTGACTTATCATACCACCATGTCACAAATAGTGGGACAGGACCACCAGCATTACATCATTAGGGGGAATTGAGCTGAGTCAAACCGATACTCTAACAGTATAGAGCTCAAGCTTGAATATTTAACTCAATTATTGAGAATTGCTGGTGCTTGCTTAATATGGGGTTTTCCTTTCCATATGCAAAATACAAGAGCCTTGGGTACAATTTCAGGACAGAAAAAAAAAAAAAAAGGAGGTTGCTTTTCCTCACTTCATTCCTCAAAAAACACAAGCAAACCATGCTATAAACACAAATTAAAACGCATAGAACCCAAAAATACACGACCTTTCTCCTTTAAAACCCATGTTTGTAACCTCCCCCAATATTTATATCTTCTTTTACATTTGTCATCAGCTAAAGTTTAAAGCGAAAATAAGCAGAACATTTAGCAATGCAGATCTCAGATTATTTTAATTTGTAAAGAAAGCCTCAATTTTACTTCTTTCCCCAAATTTCTCATCAACTAGCCTTGAATCCAAAAGAATTATAATAATACCAATAACAAGAAAATTAAAAGAAATGAAGAAATATGAACCTCTCAAGCCAGAGCTAGTGTCTTCATCCATCTTATTCTCCTTTTTATCGACCTCCATTGGCGCATTCTTCACTTCTTCCTTAATCTCCTTCTCTTCATTCACTTCCTTATTCTTTATCTCCACCTTCGGAGCCACCTCTTCAGCCTTGTTCTTGCTCTTCTCCTTGGCAGCTCTCACAATTGCCGCGATCTCCTTATCGACGTTGTCTTTCCCAAGAAAATCACTCTCTTTGGCAAGAAAATCGAAAACCTTCTCCAAAAACCCAACAGGGTTCGACGGATCCAAGCTAACGTTAAACGACACCGGTTTAGGAGGCGGCGATGAAGAGGTCGAGGGTTCTTTCTCTTCTTGGAACTCGGAGATTATAGCCATGGCTATGAAACCGAGTTTGGCTCAGGTGTGGTTAAGGGGAGTGTTATGTTCTGTCGGCTGTTGAAGTCACGTCAGGGTTCATATATATGGACAGGACGAGACACGGAGTTCCAACGTTTTAACCGAGAGTTCCAGAACCTTTATTTGTTTCCAAGTTTCCTATTGTATTTGCTGGAACGTCCCCTATTTTATCTTTAATTACTTAAATGTTACCATTATTCATACTTTATTTTGCTTTTGTCCGTAGGTTTTTTTTAATATCAGCTATGGAGAATAAAAGAAGAAATTATATATTTTGAAATTTAAAATTTAAAATTTAAAATTATTAAATATTATTAAAATGATTTAAATTTATCAAATATTATAAATTAATTAAACTAAATTTCAAATTCAAATAAAAATTCTTTTGACAACACGAAAAAAATTCTCACCACGCAGTAGCATTGTTTTATAGGAAAGATCAATCCTAAAACACACAAACTGGCCACTTCTATCTGTGGCATACTTTTTTTTATTCAACTTATTAGTTTCCGAACGGGAAAAAAATTTCACATACCTTGCTTAAGATAGGGTTTTGCCCTTCTGATTTTTTTTTTTTTTTTGTTGTATTGGGTGACTTCCAAATTAAGTGATTGACCGATGGATTGAAGTTTCTTTAATGTTCTTTTGAACACTGGTACTAGTTTTTTTTTTTTATTCTACAAAAGTAAAAGTAAAACGTCCTGTGTCGGAAAGAAAAAATTTTCTTTTAGTACGATTATCAAATTATTTGAAAAATTTTTTAATTATTAACGAGTAAATATTAATTTTTAAAAGAAATTATTCATTAATAAGATTTTATTATCTAATTCATCACATTAATAAAATAATATTATTTAATTGATTGATAATATATAAAATTTTTATATTAACAATATATTAAATATAAATCTTTAAAAAAATTAAGTTGACAAATCTCTATGTCTATTTATCTAAAAGAAAATTGAATAGAAAGAATCTCTAGGTCTATCTACCCTATATAAAAAGAAAATAGTTATGGAATATGATTCTATCAACAAAAAATTATAGTGACTTATGAATAAAAATAATTATAATAATAATAAATTTATTAATTCAAAAAAGCAAATAAAATAACAAAGTATAGAACATATTTTTAATTTTCAAAATATCAAAAGTAATATCCAAATAAAATATTCTGAATTCATGTTCATGCTAATATCTCTCCATAAAAACGCTAAATAATTATTGCAGAGGAAAAATTTGTAGTCCACCAATATGTAAATATCTAAATGAAAATAGACGCGAGAACTCCATGGATTATACCAACAAAGCTTATTCTGCATTATTTTTCTTACAAAACAAAAATAAAATAAAATAAAAAAGCAGTGTATAGAATTACATCATATTAGTTCAGCAATAAATTGTTATTATAATACTAATAGTAAGTGACATTAACTATAAACAATAATTTTTAACTATGGTAATTACGTCATTTATAGGGTAAATCAATAAAGATACATTAGATAACAAATTAAAATTTAATTCTTCACTTATTATACGTGCAAATATAGTTATTATTTTTTCAATTTCAAAATGAGTGATGCTATTTGTATCTCACATTCTTCTCCATACACGTCATTATTATTAACACCTAATTTTTTGTTCAAGACACTCTAATCTTAAAACATAAATCTATTAAAAAGCTCGACACCACGTCTCATCTCCCATTTCTCCTCCATCTTTTTCTTTCGATCAAAAACCCTAAAGGATTAAGCCCCAACCAAGCCACATTTAAAGGAAATTGTAGTCATTTAACGTTAGAAAGCTTGGAATTAGAGATAAATAGTTTTGTTTTTTTTATGTTTTTTCATTTGATTTTGCATTTAATTTTGTAAGAATTAAGATTTTAAGTTATGATGTGCGATTCGAACATTTCAAAAATAAATTTCTATAAGTTCTGGAAAATATCCAAAAATGGATGTTTAGAATCCATCAAGGATTCCCAAAGATTCATTTTTGAAATCCCTTTAAAGCTATCGAACATCTATTTTTAAAAACCTTTAAGAATTTTTGGAAGTCAATTGCCAAAATTTCTTATTGGTATTCGAAAACCTTTGACGAATTTCAAAAATGGATGTCCAATAACCTTAAAAGGATTCTGGCAATCCATTTTCGTAATTCATTAAAGGCTTTTGGACATCAATTTTCAAAAGTTCTTTAAAGTTTTCAAAAATAGATGTTCAGAATCTTTTAAAGGACTCGAGACATCCATTATAGAAATCCTTTACAAATGTCCAAAAACCACAATACTTTAATATTCTATGCATGCGTTATTATGTACTAATCGAGTCATGTATATTTGCTTCAAGAATTAATGTGTTATCATTTAATATTTGTAAAAACAAATATGGCATGAATGAGAGGAGTGGGCATTAGTCGAGGTAGTGGACTTGTTGCAATTGATATTTGGAGGCATACAACTCCTTCTGAAATGAGATAATAAGCTTATAATCATGAGCTGGTTGTTGATCCGACAAATTAGCTGGATTTTGATCAAGCACAATAACCTTTATAGTAGCCAGATGTGGAGCTTACAAAGCCGATTATTCATCCTCCAAAGCCATTTCCTGAAGGTTTAATAGATATTTCTTTGCTTCCGAGCTTTGACACTTATATTGCATCTAAAATATGGAATTACCAAGTAATAAATTGAATGAGATTGATGATTGATGCTTACTTTTGTTACTTACTTAATGTATGTGTTATAACATATAGATCCATAAATCTATAACTAGACTTAACAAAAGGAATCCTCACCAATATTTTTTTATCTAGGTGTGATTGGTCACCTAAGTAATCTATTTTTTAAGGAGCTCCTAGGCTTGACAATGGGTCCCTAAAAAATAAGTTCGGATCTACAAACCAGAACAGGGTTCAAAAATTCAGTTACATATAAGGAAGATTATAGCACCCTTACATATCCATTCAAAGGACGGTACCATTTTATTTTAAATTTATCCTAAGGTATTGGTTCTAATGGTTTCAAATTTGTTATGTTGAATATTGGAAATAATTCCTAAGACTCTCCATCAATCTGACAGAATTCTTAAAAATACTTTCTCACATCGATAATATTCAAGAATCTCATTTGTTTTCTTGAAAAGGCTCCATCGTCGAAAAAAAATTTAATTATTTATTTTTTGTTGAAAATATATCTAATTATTTCACCATTTGGGTCAAATTAGAAATATTTTTTTGTTTTGAATTTTTAAATTCTTCACCATTTGGCCTTATTTAGAATTTTTTTATTTTTTTATTTCTAAAATTTTCACCATTTGAATCGATTTAGAAATATTTTCTTTTTCAGAATTTCTAGATTTTCCACCATTTGGGCCTATTTAAAAATTTCTTTTATCTTTTTTTTTTATTTTTGAAAAGAAAATAATATGACAATTATTTTTTATTGAAATTTCATTTAAATTCTTCTACCATTTAAGATAAAATTAAAGAAATTTCTCACATAAAATTTTTCAAAAAATTTATCATTTGAAATTTGTAAGATTCTCATCCTTGGATAATTATCAAATATTTTCAAATAATTTTTTTTATTTTTTTGTTTGAAAATACATATTAATTATTGTTATTGAAACTTTATCTAAATTATTTCACCATTTAGGACAAATTTAGATAAAATTTTTCACCTAAAAATTTTATAAAAATTTACCATTTGAAATTTCTATAAATTTCATCATTGGATAATATTATTTATTCTCAAAATTTGTTTTATTTTTATTTTTTATAAATCTAATCATGCAAAATACTAAAAAAGATAAACACATAAATAAAATACTAAATAAAATAAATACAAAAAAAAACAAAAAAGGCTCAACTGAGAATTTGGCACGACTCGAATCCAAGCACAGACAACAGCTTGAAAGCATGACTTAGGGGCACGCCTCGGCTTGACTTAGCATTTAAGTTTGGCTAGGATGCGAGTCAATAGACCGGGTCGGATCACCCACTAGCAACATGCGTGGATCCTGGACTTTTTTAAATGTCAAAACGATGTCATTTTTGAAAGGCTATAAAAGCCTAAGTTTCAGCTTTCCCCCTCAGATTTCTTCTTTCCCCACTCTCTTTTCCCTATTTTTTTCTTTTTTTCTCTCTCTAGAATCGAATGAACTTTGATTGAATCTCTATCAAATTTTAGAAAATGTCATCAGAATCTGGGTTGGTTTGTTAGAAGGAAGTTGCACTTGAGAAGCTACAACCCTTCACTTTTGTGCATATTCCTTAAATGATTCAGTCACCTCTTTTTTCATATTTTGCAAAAAAAAGTGATCATGAGCCAAGTCTATAATATACCAATACTGATTAATAAAAGCATGGGTCATATCGTTCTAAGAATGAATGTGGTCCTATCTAACTAGACATACCACCTAGCAACAGAGCCTGTGAGGTTATCTTGAAAAATATGCATCAATAGCTTCTTATTATTAGCATGGGCAGCCATTTTTTAACAGTACATGGTAATGTGGGTCCTTGGGCATCTTGTATCATCATACTTTTTAAAATTTAAAACTTGAATTTTGGAGGAATAACCACATCTGGGACTAAACAGAGCCCAACAACATCTACTAAACCATAAAAACCAACTCTTTTCACTGCTCGCTACCTTTCCTCTAACAAGTTTCATTTTTTATTTAACTTTTGAAGCTTTTAAAGTCTTCTTCTCCTTGGGCCTCTGCTTTTCTTACTCTTCTGGATCATCCAAATTAGGGATTGATATTGGTTTTACTGTCTTCTCAATAAATATATAATTTACATAATTTTGATACTGCCATGGATTTGAAGCTGATGATATTTCAAGGTATATGCACCCTACAGGATAGGTGAACTACTGTAATGATGGATCTTGTGTGGGTTAGGCTTGATGTGACCTAAAATCAGGAAGATATAGTGGGTCATCCACCTCTTGTGATGGATGATTTTATTGGCTAGTACTTTCTTCTATATATTTTCTTTTGTTTAACTTGTTCAAAGCCTCTAAAATCATATTCAACTCCCCTTCAAGCTTCTCTTAAGCTTTCTTTATCCTCTTGAAATGGTTAAATTTTTTTTTGTTTCATCTATC